AAGTCTTAATTTAGGCTTCAGATGTAATAGAAATTATAAATTAGATCTTTACTTAAACAACAAGACCAAAATCAACTCTGTAGACCCACGGATGGCTCGGCTACAGCTCGGATTTAAATAGGATTTCACTAATTGATTAAATCATAAAAGGGGTGACCTGATGAAAATACGTCAGTTAGATCGAGGCTAAATGATAGAGTGTACTTAGCGAGGCCGCTGTAAAGCGTTTCCGTATGCCATTGACAACTTTACTTAAAATCGAGATATGTAGGTGGAGTTAACGCCTGTCAATCAAACGATCAGCAAAGGTGAAGACACATTTCGCTACCATTTCTAGGCAAATATTACAACGATGATAACTATGTTCAGAATAAAGTAATTTGACTGAATTTTTCAATATATTCTTCTTTCATCATCTACTTTTGAACTGTTATAACAAGAATGGCCAACTCTCTATAAAAATCTCCCATAATGTATCTTTAAAAAATGTATTTTTAATTTGATGGCGGGCATTTCTTTCAAAATGACTGCCAAATGTGGTAATATAATACCATTTAAATAAAATAATGATAATAAAAAAACAACAACATTAATTTGGCAATAAAAGGACAGCGATAATCTCAAAAATTTAATTTCGAGAATTCTTGATGGCAGGCAAAATGAAATCCAAAATGGTGTAATTTTAATATATCGTCATTTCATTCCGTTGGGCATGACTTGTAATAATCCCAAAAATGACATAGTTGCTCATAAATGAATATATTGTTAACGCGCTTTAAACATCTAGATACAATAGATGTTGGTAATAAAGATCCAATCATAGTTTTTCGTTACACATTGTTAACCAAGCTTTGATTTTTTAATGACAATAAATCATATTATACTTTATTCAGCTCGACGCAAGACTTAAAATGAAAAGATGCAGTTTAACTTGATTGTAGATATTATATATCCGTGTTGCATATATAGGACCATTCGGTTGAATCATACCATAGAAGTATCTTATTTCATAGTTTTACGTATATGTCGACATTAAGGTGTACTTGTTCTGTTTCTTGTTTCACTTGACTTAACAAAACATCTTGTGGGAATGTAGGCTTTTATAGATTGAACAAAAAGCTGATAAATGTTGAGATGTGTGGAACATGCTCGAGACGATTTGTAACAACCCTCAGACACGATATATAGTTGATACTAGAACAACATGATTATTCATTGGAAATGGGGCCCAAATACACAAATGAGTCTCCTTCATTTGGCCCTCTCAATGTCCGTCTACCTGTGGAAAAACATGAACATTATTTGTATCTGTTAAATTTGTGCGGTTTATATATTAGATAATATTATTATTTACACATAGGCGGCGAGTGATAACGTCTTACCCCCAAAAAATTGCAAAAGAAACCAGGAAGTTTCGGAGAGCGATATCTAGTATCACATGTCACTGATGAAACATATGCCCGAAACACATGTCACGCTAGACACCTTTTATTTAAATTTTACTGATTTTACACTGATTTTAAGTTACGCTGATTTTAAATAATTTATCCATTAGTCAATTTAAAGAAATTTCTATTTTCGAAAAATTGATGATACAATTAATGATCGATGACCGAAAACTGACACACAATCCGGAATGGCTCCAGACCAAAAAATCGTGGAATTTCAGGCATTTATTTTGCCGGGTAGCAGGCAAAAAGGTTTTATCTCTCACCTTACAATTTAAATTTTCATTTTTCACTTTAACCGTCTGCACAAAAAATGTGATTTTTAAAAGCGTATGGAAGTTAAATATATCTTTTATTTCATTTTCTTATGAATTACTATATCACATATCAAAATAAAAAAACAAGCAATTCGATACATCCGTCGTCTTCCCAAAGTTTTTTTTTATATATATATAAAATAGAAATGTATAGCCTTCGGTCACGGCAAATGCCCAAATACAATAGTCAGCTGATGTTTTGGGTTGCTGTGATTCACCATGTAACAAATACTAGTATTTATTTAATTTTATTGTTCTTTGGGTAACGGCAGGGGGTTGGGTGGCCCATTGGTTAACGCATGTACTTTAGATCATAAGTTCTGTCATTGAGTCAAATGGCGTGGTTTCGATTCACCGCTTGTACGTGACAAGGAATAGGGTCGCCATCTAACCTCGTCCACTGGTTTCCTCCCAAAGCTAAAGACCTTATGTGCAAACTAATTATAGTCTGCGTCGAATGGGCGTTAAATCTCATTTATCTTTTTTTTTCTCTTCTCTCTCTCCCTCGATTGTTTTGACAATAATTGGCTTTGGAAGTTTATGCCATAGAAAAGGTCTAGCATAGGACAAAGCACGTTTTCCAAGTTGTAAGTTAACATTTGGAGATTTTAGAAGATGTATTGTCTGAGAACTGATATTTCTACTGGTAGTGCAGGTCTTTACAATATTTTTTAAAATATAATATGTGAATTAATTATATTCATTTAATTTTATTTTCTTTGAGTATGGTGACGGTCGTGGTGTTGTCGATTGCACTGCTGATAGTGGTTGTAGTTGTAGTGCATGAGAGGGGGTGGGGTGTCAATGTTTCTTAGGTTTATTACATTAAAATATATATTTCTTTGATTTAAACGTAATTGAAATGGTGTTTAACGTCCGACTGGGCTAATGAAGACAGGCGTACGCCATATTGTGTCCTAAGAGGGGATTTGTGCCGGGGACCGGTGCTACGGGCTACTCTTATATCGAATTCCAACTGCCAAGAATTCTTTTACGCCTCATCCGATGAGTATACGTTATCCAAGGCCCTCTGTCCCGCACCAGTGACAAGGGGGGTAATTGTGTTATTATTTCTGGGCTCAAAGGATTTTTAAGAGGGAGAATAATACCTATGATCGTATAATAGTGAGTTGACAACCTATTGAGCAAAAGACATAGAAATAATTATGTTTTGACTTTCTTAGAAAATATGAAATTATCGCTTTAACTGAACAGTCGATCCTTATTTCAACCCCATCTCACTTCCGTTGTATCTATGACAGATTAGGTAATTAAAACAACGACGGAATAGAGTTTATCTCAAAACTCTTTCACTGTGCCCCTTATCTATCAAATAATTCACTGATATCAGTTATGACCAGTTAAAACAATTGGTTGCCATGCACAATACATCCACAGTTTCCAAGAAATGTATGTGGAAGAGGTAAAATTAATAGGGTTCATCCTCTCATTCAAGATCTTTTGCTCCTTAACATAGTTGTTACGTTTCATCAGAATGGGACAAATTGTAGCCCCTCTGGACGGCCTAAATGTTCATACATATTTCACATCTTGCGTAAAAGGCAGGGGCTATAACTCTAGAATGTGAGGTCTGCTGCTTACCAAAGCCGAACTCCTCCAAGAACTTTGATCCTTAACACATAGGTTAAGTTTCATCTCATGAATCGGACAAAAATTGTAGCCTCGGGAAGGTCCACAAACTTCATTCATATTTCACATTTTGCGTAATAGGCAGGGGGCCAATACGCACCAAAATTAAACTCATCCAAGCGCTAGTAATAATCGTTTTAAGTTTATCTAAATCGGATAAAAATTATAACCTCTAGATGGTCCACAACCATTTAAATTCAACCGTAATTATAATTTAACGGTAATATTTGAACGTTTTTTTACAATCAAATGATAATGTTGACCTCTAGAGAGTCCAGAAACTCAAAATTTGATTTTTCGTACAATCAAAGGCCGTAATCTATGTAGGAATATCAACAAGAACTGGTATTATTATGCATATATGTGTTCAGTTCAGCGTCACAGGAAACCACCATCGACGGCGTTTTCGTGGCAAGTAAGGGAAATAAAACTTCCCTGCTGAGTAATTTCATTAGCCAGAAATTGCCCAGAAAGCATCTCCGACAATTTAAAAACCCTGGACCCTCGCCTGATCGGACCTGTGATGATGACACGTCTGTAAGTTTATCGGGTGGGACCTGCGATGATGACAAGTAAAGTTGTGCATTTTAAAAATCCGTTGGAGCGTGGAATTTGAAAAAAAGTAAGCGGAAATCCCGTTGTACATTGCACACATGACCATAGAAACATAAACATTGTTAGTTCCAAAGGAACCGAAGTATTATGGTTTAAGGTATTAAATTCAATTATGTTTGTCATACAGCGACGTTCCGCTGACTTTAACATAGTGGAGAAAATATGTATCGTAATCAGATGGGAATATCAACGTACCCCGAGGGGTTTAACGTCCGTGCGAAATAAATTGGGTCAATTTGCAACGAACATATGGTTCAATTTTTTCATACATCGTCTTTGACAGTAGGAGTAAACACACGCGATTGGACAAGCGACCATGCTTCCTGTCACGTGCAAGTAAGGGATTGAAACCACGCCCTTTGACTAAATGACAGACCATCCGTCTCTCACCTGGTGCAGTAATTGTAGTCTATTGTGACTTGTAGATTGCAAGGTTCCGTTGCAACGTATCGTTAAAACAGTCCATAATAATTCTATAACAATTTTCTCATGAATATGACCTAACAATTTTCTAAAGATGTGAATATCAATTCCATGGCCACTCGGCAAACCTCGGCAGATTCCGGTACCCTACATCTAGCCTTGACTGTATGACGGTATGTGATATGTACCTACGCCTACACAATTGCGATGCGGCACCGGTTTACTTATTAGGAAAACTTGCCGCTTTTAGAAAGAAGTTCTCACAATTGCGTCGTTCGAAGAGTGTGTAGAATTTTCAGTGCAAACTTGTCGTTGTCTAAAGAAAATCGGATAAACTTGAGAGAAAAACAGCCTCAGACGTTGAAATCTTTGTATGATAAAACATTCTTCATAGGCATCGTCATGGGCAACGCCGTTGGTAATCCGGGAACTTGAAAGTAGTATCAATGGCGGACTTCGTCATACAGCCGAGTCTAGATGTAGGGCACTGGAATCTGCTCATGGGGAGACATTGGACTAGGGTTATCACGTGTCAATAACGACCTACCTTCTTCTTTAACGTCATGTGATGATTTTATATTGGCATGAATGAAACTTGCAATCTGGAATAATAATAATAATAATAATAATGGCCAAGGATTAGAATTCATTGCTGACAATAATCAACAACAAAGGCTAACTTTTTGGGCAAAAATAAACGAATTAAAAAAACATTGGTTCAATGCAATCTCATTGTGAAAATATGGGATCCTAATATCCAATATTTAAGACACTATGAACATCTTAAAATAAGTACACAACGTCAGGTGTAATGAACAAAGAAAAGCGTATCCAACAAGACAATGCGGAAGTAATTAAAAATGTCTGAATTAATTCGACAAAATAATCAAATAAAAAAAACTTGTAGAATGGACTAAGAGAGAAATAGGTGGGGTTTAACGAGAGAGAGAGAGGGAGAGGGGGGGGGGGTTAACGTCCACTCGACACAAACTAGGTCATTTCGGGACTAACATATGGTTTAATTTTATTTCAATAATTCGCTTGCGCGTAGGGGACTTTAGCAGTGGGAGGAACCCGGGGGACCCGGAGAAAACCCACGAGGTTGGACAGGCGACACTACTCCTTGTCACGTACAACCGGGGAAACGAAACCACGCCAGTTGACTCAATGACAGACTTATTTATGATACACAGGGCACAATATACACAGATTTATTAGATCCGGGGACCAGCCATTAGTGTCCACTGAGCTGTACAATCCCGAGCTGCACCCAAAATGAAAGCAATCTAACAATAAGAGAAACAAAGCAATCAAAAAGGACGAACATTTCCCAAACGTGGGATCATGTTTGTGTCATGATCGAATACATGCTACAAGAAATTACATGTCAGCACATTGAAGAAAAAAAGAATCTTTAAAATAAAATAGTAAAACAACAATTAAAACTAAAAAAAATTTAAGATGTTAAATCCCATTAGGAATTATTAATATTTATAAATCTAATATATCCAGATGCCCCTAGTATGGGTGCACAATATGTTGCTCTCAGTTTTTTTTTATAGTTTCACAGATTTTCCATTAGTCACCATATAGGTTTTTTGTCCATAAAAAGCCATTTTTTAAAATTACCTTTGATCGTAACTGATGGTCACAATCGAGTGGAAGAATTCAACTCGCAAGATGAAAGAAAAACATTCTCAAATAGAAAGTGGTACTCATGACAGTCTAAGCATAGTTACCCTTTCCCGTGCGCGAGACACGGCTTTGTCATTGTGTTAAAACAAACAAATAGGACAAAAAAGAAAGAAATAGATCGGTAACTTACGTAAAATTTTGTTAGCATAGCCATAATAATAATAACCAGAAAAACGAACAACACACGTGTGCGTCTAGAATCCATTTTCAAGTACATCGCATATAATGTTATACACAAAGGTTCGCGTGTAAACACAAAACAGTGGAGATCTCAGGTGTGGCCGTAGGTATGACGCATACTACCGTCGAAATAATCGGTACATGAATAAATATCTCGAGATATTAAATTGCATTGTGCATGTGCTAACAATTTTATAAAGTTTCATATTAAAGATACATTATGGGAGATTTTTATAGAGAGTTGACCTTTCTTGCTATAACAGTTCAAAAGTAGATGATGAAAGAAGAATATATTGAAAATTTCAGTCAAATTACTTTATTCTGAACATAGTTATCATCGTTGTAATATTTGACTAGAAATGGTAGTGAAATGTGCCTTCACCTTGACCGATCGTTTGATTGACAGGCGTTAACTCCACCAACATATCTCGATTATCAAGTAAAGTTTTCAATGGCATGCGGAAAGGCTCTACAGCGGCCCCGCTAAGTACACTCTATCATTTAGCCTCGATCTAACTGACGTATTCTCATCAGGGTGCGCCATATTTGAATTTATCAATAAGTGAAATCCTATTTAAATCCGAGCTGTAGCCGAGCCATCCGTGGGTCTACAGAGTTGATTTTGGGCTTGTTGTTTAAATAAAGATCTAATTTATAATTTCTATAACATCTGAAGCCTAAATTAAGACTTGCAATAATCAGATTTTGCTCTTGCATAATGTATGCACAAATAGCGGAGACGGGGTTTCAGCCAGCTGATTTAAGTTATTTCTTTAAATACAGTAAAGCTTGAAATATGTCAGTTTTCACTCTTTAGAATGTTTTTGTAAATACGTTTCTATTGTAGTTTCCGTGGCGTATTCCCAATAAGCGTTAAAATCAATGATACCCTTAATCCCGGTGCTGATCAATGTTGGGTTGTGTGAAACATGCTAACAAATCTCAGGTACGATATAGGTTTGATTCTGTTTGAGAACAGCATCAGAGCAACATGATTGTTTTCATTGGAGATGGGGCGCAAATATTCAAAGGGGTCGGAAAATAACAAGTAGATTAAAAGAGCCATAGAAACCTACTTTCCGGTGATGTATGACACAATAACTGGAATTTCCTATTAAGACACGTATTTTGACATTAAACACTCGCCCCACCCCACCACTCTCTTTAATTCAACCAGTGAAGGCTACCAAACTTGTATCAATTTTAATTTAAAAAAGTATATATGCATTCCGCCGAAAATATAATAAATACATTTCAAGAGAGGATTAACTTTACTTTTCAGTATAGATATACGGAATTTAAGCCCTGCATTTTTATTTCAAATACCCCCCCCCCCCACACACACACACACCCTTTTCACTTTTCAAGGCAAGTAAATATAAATGTGCCAGTAAATTATTTATATATTTGAAAAGAACCATGAACTTGCTTTCTACTGATATGTAGCATGATATCTGGAATTTCGTATTAGAACTCGTAATTAGACATTGAATACCCACCCCCCACGTAATTACTTAATAGAGTTCAGTATTATCCAACTTTGATAGTTTTTCAAGGTAAGTAAATATAAATGTTCCAGACAATTATTTACATATTTGAAAAGAAAAATGAAAGTGCTTTTCAGGGATATATAACATAATATCTAGAAGTTCGTATTAAGGCCCGTATTTTTACTTTGAAAACCCCTCCCATCATTTAATAGATTTGTGTACCATTCGTCTTTGATCACCCCTCAAGGCAAGTAAATACAAATGTACCAGAAAATTATTTATATATTTGAAAAGAGCAGTAAACGCGCTTTTCAGTGATATGTAATATGATATCAGGAATTTCGTATTAAGACCCGTAATTTGGTAGTGAGGCCAGCTTGATTCGCAGTTAGTGAACGGTAAGTATTCTTAGTGAAGGATGAGATAGTGAGGGCTGACTTGATCTCGTGGCCGCTTCAACATTGATAAATGAAGTCGACAACCCGACATCACGACATTTTTACGCGACAATACGACATTTTACGCGACATTACGACATTCTTAATGTCGTGGTGTCGGGTGAAAATGTCGTAGTGTCGGGTTATAAAATGTCGTGATGTCGGGTTGTCGGATTGTCGGATTGTCGTGGTGTCGGGTTATAATGTCGTGATGTCGTGGTGTCGGGTTGTCGCCTTATGAAGGGCGACACCACGACATCACGACATGATACCAATCAGCCACCATAGCCGAAAACCGAATTTGACAAAAATCAAAAAATGTATTTTTCACATGTATTGCGCCCTTCATTTCTTTCAATACGGCAACCTGAAAGTGGTCCACTTTCTGAACTCCAATCAACAAATCAACCAATCAGGCTGTTGTCGTTGCCTTCACATGACACCAGACGTGTCACTGATGAAACAAATATGCCCGAAACAAATGTCGCGGTTAGTGCGAGCCATTTGTGACAATTTCTAGGTCCCAAATATTAGCGATTTTATAGCTCCTTTAAAAGCGAATGCAAGTTAAGTATATGTTTAATAGCGCTTTTATCTAGTGTATCTTTTATTTTGATTTTTCTTATAGAATAAGGCTATATAGCAATTATGTGCGCTTTTTGTTGTATAATACTAATAATAGTATGTTCATCTATACTTCTCGTTTAAAAAATGTATGTTTTATCTCCTATAGACACTTATTCGCTGGAATCTATGACATATCTATCCACATCCCTGTTTGTCGGGACATCTAACAATATAATAGGGCATATAAATATATAGTGAGTTGGTAGAGTTACTTGGGACCCAAGATGGCGTCATTTTACACTTGACGTCATATTAGTGTGGGAGAGTGATTTTATTGGGGAATATTTTAAAGTCACCAATACTAAGTTTTAAATGTTAGATAATATGTTCCACTTCACTAGCTTTAGCTATCCTGTGTTTCTATCGACTTTCTATCCACTATCTTAAGTTAGAGTGAGTTTCTTCTCACTTTTGGTATCTTGTCTTGGTTTTAACCTTTGAACCTGAGTATATTGTGGTCAGGTGATTTGGTATCCAGGGAATGTTTGGACACTTAGGTAATAGAGTTTGAGGCAATAGGTTGACTATTTTCAGTTCTCCATATTGCAACTTATTTCTGTATAGTCATAGTTTAATTAGCTAGTTTTAGATATTTCATTTCTAATATAGTTTATATAGAAGTTAGATTAAAGTATTCAATAGTTCCAGTGATTGCCAGGTAGGGTATGTATTATATATGGTTTTATGTAGTTTTATCCTAGTTTTCAAAGTCTTGGTCATGTTGGACATATAGTGTCAGATATATTGGATTTTTAGTAAAATGTAAAGTTCCTTGGGTTTAGTAATGGTTTATAGTTAGTATAGTATACATTTCACCACTTTCATTCAAATATACTTTAAAACATCTATTGCATATTCACACATTCATATATTTTATTACAGATACTTCAAAGGTACTTCACCTTTGACAGTCTGTCTAGCCAGCAAAACCCCTCTCTAGGGTAAGCTACTTATTAAGTGTTTAGTTATTTAGATTATTTAGATTGGTATTATTACATACATATACTTTAACTTGTAGCTGTCATACAAGTTAGCAGGATGAAGTTAATTATATAGGCAGTATTTAAGATCGTGTTTAAGTGACTAAGTAAAATGGATTTATAGATAGGCCTATGTAGCATGTATCTAGTATGTATATTTCTACTACTAAAGTTATGATGCTATTATTAATTTGTAATGGGGTATAGATATAGATTTTATCAATTCAACATATGTATTATTATATATATTTAGTCTTATTTATTATGTATTTCAGGGTTTCTGTTATATCTGAATAAACCGTTGAATCGAACCCTTGGTGTGGTTTTTTCTACAACTAGAGAATGGACCCCCCGTAACATTTGGAGCCCGATAAATTTTGATGGTATAATGGTATAAAGATTAATGGTATAATGGTTATCAGTTTAATGGTGATTTTGAAGAGTATAGACTACTATAGAAGATAAAATTCAGTGAGCTCACACGCGTGCGCGATCAACAGCAATAGCAGTATACCAGTGCAGTGACATTAACTTTATTTAGTATATTTTGGTGATTTGTGTTTCATTTGGATTTATAAGGATTTTCCATAAGGTCTGTTAATTAATTTATTACTTAATAATTACATAATTAAGATTATTTAATTAAGATTTATTTCTGTTTTGATATGTGTAATAATATTGTTAGGCCTATAATTTAAAATTATTTCATAGATTATCTCCCTTTAATTGGTATTATATACATATAAGTGGTTATTTATTGAAACTTAAGTAATTCTCAGTACTTATTAGTAGAAGGTACTTGTAATTAAGAGTAGTTCTTTTCAATAGGCGTAAATATTTTGTCCTAGCCCTATTATTTACAGCATTAGTCCCTAAATTTTCATAAATAGTGCATTTAAATTTTGGAGTTAAGAAACTTCATCCATTTTGTATGTTTACAATTTGTGTTTCCTGTCGGCCATATTTGTATAAGGTTATTGCTACTTCCTGTTTACATAAATAGTTATTTCCTGTTGACCCAAATAGTTACTTCCTGTTCACCCACATACATCTTCTTGTTTACATTTACAATTTTTTGTGAGTAAAAACAAAGTTTTACATTACATAAATCAAAGCAAAAACATAGTACATTAACATTATAACATTCGTAAATTATACTTAAAGATATTTTCAGGTGCGTTACACAATATATATTCATTACATTCAATTTTCATTTTCAGAATTAGATATGTTGGTTTCGCGTTTGGGATTTAGGTGTTTATCCAGATTCTGATTTTGTCAATTTAGACTTTGTGACTTTTCAGAATTGGGGATTTGTAAAGTTGAAGTTTCAGGTTTCGCTTATTTTCAGATTTGAATAATTTGACTTTGAAGTGTATTGATATTGTGGTTTTGATTTTGGAAAGTCAATGGTGTTGTTACATTTGACTTAGTCCATATTCAATTTCATATATTGTCGATAAGTTGTGTTTGTATTTTGAAGTTTGAAGTTTGATTGTTTTATAGTTTATTTTCATTTGTATTTGGCGGTACGTGATCTATACTTAGTTTATATTTCGTCATATTTC